ATCGCACGCGCTGTGAAACGCGCGTCTTTGCGCAAGTAAAAATTTTTACTTCCATACTGAGGACGAACGGATGGCTTTCAGCCAACGACTGTGTGTGGCCGCTTTAAATGTACGACTTTAAAAAAACGGATGCACCGGCATGACTATGTGTATCCATTAAATTAAAAAAAGAGTTGCTAGTACCGAGAAGTGGTCCACAGTAATGCAGGATAATGATCCTATGAAAAGGATTGTACTTTTTCAAGTGAAAATAAATTTGTTATATATCATTTTAATTAAAGAATTAAACAAGATAATATATCCATGATTAAACAATGAATATTTTTAATTTTGTAAAAATCTCAAGTGTATAAATTAGAGGAAAAAATAATGTGGGCCAAACTTAAAATTCTATAATTAACACTGTCTCTTGCAAAAGGTTTTTGAGTTGTTTCTAGATAGATATTAAAGTTTTGAGACAATTGTTATCACGACTGATGCGATCTTTTTGTTGACAAGTGATGTTTGTTTGTTACAAGATATGTAAAAGTTTTTTCGTATGACTTTCAATGCTCTAAGTTTAACGTAATTTCGAATTCGTAAGAATAACAAGTTTGTACTCTAAATAAATTCTTAAGATATTTTGAGAAGATAAAGTAATCTCGAATAATTATATTTTCGACGAGACACAATTAAATGTAAATTTTGCCAATTTCTATATTGGGTCCCCTAACAAGTGAGTAATGTAATAAGTCCTGAAATTTTTAATAAAAAAACATTGCAAAGTTGTGCTTTTCGTTAAAAAATCTTTGTGGTTATGATTTTGAAATGATTTTAAAAAGTCTATAGAGATATCTACAGAGTGGAAAGGAAGTGCTCGTGGTAAACATTCACGAGGACAAGATCAACGCAAGAATATTGCTAGGAGAACGTATTCATGAAAAGAAACTTTTGAATCTTTAATAATATCTCAATACATTCAGAATTTTCTATGAATTCAAGTTATTTGAACTTCAAGGAAAACAGATCAAATAGACCTGAAGAAACTAAACTCTGTAAAAATATAGGAAGAAAGGTCTTCTTTATCATCACAATTAGATAGTCAATTATGTCTTTTTTTATTTAAATAATTTTTCTCATTTTGTGAATTCTTAACTATTTCAAATTTATGTTTTATATTAAACATGTATAAATAAATTATCATTTACAATATTATTGATTTGAATTAAAAAATAAGACAAAAATTCAAAAGAAGCCAATATGAGACAAAACAGAATATTCGTGTGTAAAAATGAGAAATTACAAATAAAAAAACGAATTTGTCGACATTATCATTTTTTCCTCTACGAATGATAGACGAATGATAGATGTAATGTAATCAATATCGCGTTATTTTTCTAAGCTGTGCCGGACGTGAAAAATATATAAGTAATAGTTTTTAACGAATTATGACGTAGTTACATATTTAAATTTACATTCGTTATTTACGCTGTTATTTTTTTCTTTCTTGAAATGTTATTCGCGTCGAACAAAACAAATCCTATGACAGAGCGTTGACAATATACTCAGTTAAACAAAATGTACAAAAACAAATAATTCATCGGTCGAGCTACACCGAGTTTTGAAATTTGTTTTACCCCACGTTTTAAACGCGAATAGCTAGTCTTTGAAGAGTTCTCCGCGCGATGAACGCGCGCACGAGGCAGAGAAAGCGAACCATGTCTGCGACTGCAAATATTTTCCTAAAAAAAGCGAACGCTGCGTGCAGTTTCATTGCACAGTGAGCGCAGGCCAAGTTGTGTGCTTCGTCATACATGGTCTACTTCGATGCAGTTGCACGCGGGCGTCGGCGTCGCTTGATCAAACAATAACGCGTACCGATGCATACATACACAGTCGCATGCGCGTGTAGCTTTGCGGTGGACCAGCGCGCATGCATGCGGCCCATTCCCAATGCATGCAGACGAACGGCGGCTTTGTTTCCTGTGCGAGGTGCGATACACCACGGATTTCGCTCGCCGTTATTTTACTGAGCGTACCGTTATTACTCGATCCGTCTATTTGGAGTTTCCGGAGTTATTGTTTCTGGTCAACTGAGCCGCCGTTGATTGCTCCTGACGTGATTCGTACGACGCCGTTAAACCAGTCTGCAGTTGCCGATATATACTCGATATGGTGCATTTTACGATACTTCTGTACCATAAAAATCTATCGAGAAACTGCCAGTTATATTGTCAAACTGTTCCAATAGTGACCAACAATAGAGGCACAGTACTATTCCATGACTAACTAATATTCAGGAAATTATTCCACTGTGGCGTTCCACTATTAACACCTTCGGACCTGATTTTATAGGAATCATGTTAAACAAATTTTTTATTCAATTCATATGCACTTTAATAAATAATTCATACTAAACAATTAATTTTTTCAAAATTTTGATTCTATTTTCAACATATATAAATTATACTATATAATTATACTATATAATGTACATCAAATCTCTAATGATGTCGATAGAATTAAATAATTTCGAAAAATGATGTCTTCAAGATTGATGTACAATATATTATAATGTACGCGCGCAGGGTCTGAAAGGATTAATTAAAATTAACTAAAGTAAAACCAAACCGCAACATAATGCCAAAAATAATTAATATCTAACATTAATAATTTTACATAATTCGCAAAATTATATACAAATATAATGGAGTATTATAATCCAATATAGGGTGAAGTGTACAATGATTGACCACTTAAGTGCTAAAATTTAATATAATTACTGTAATCACTATTAAAGTTATTTGAATTTTGAATTTGATGCAAAGCAAACGTTAAATAAGATTCAAAGAATATTTCAAATATAAAAAACTTTGAATAGGACCATGTTTTTCATTTTTTCTGATAGTAGAAATTTTTATTTAGAAAATGATAGTTATTGATCACAAGTTTTACAGTTATTGAATAAAAAAATGTCCCGAAGATGTCGTTCATAAAGGTAAGGTACTTAAAATAGTAATTTTGTTTATAAGGAATAATTATTTAGTGAATAATATGTGAATTACAATGAATGAATACCATAACCGTAAAAAATGGATTTTTTCAATTACAGTTATTAATTATCCTTTCATTTTCGTAATTATCGCACGAATGAAAACAATTAATATGTAGGTATATTTATAACGGTATATTAACTATATATGACAAAAGTTATATCATTAAATGTTTAATAATAATATAATTTACCTATTTAAATATGTACGTTTAATTGAACTGTTAAGTATTTCTTAATTATATACTACAGTTTTTCTTGTGAGTTCAATTTACGGACAGAAAAGTAAAAAAACGGACTGTAAATTGAATATTTTATTTGAAGTTAGTAAAGATCAGTTGTTACTATGTTGTGAAATTAGCTATTAATTTGACTTGGATTTTAATACATAGACAAATGATCAATCACTGTATACTTTACCCTATATATGTGTTAGAATCTTGAGAGAAACAATACGTATCTCTCCTTACCATTAATTCAAGCCAATATCCGCTAATATTAACTTACATCAGCAATGTCTTCAAAGTACCAGCTTGCTGTACAGTAACGTCGTACCGATCCTGTTCCGTATGTTCTTGCCAATGGTGTTCCAATAGCAGCGTTTACCGCAGCATGTTGTTGCATCCTAATGGTCAAACTTAGCAGGCATAGTGTTGCCAGCTAGTCAGTACTAGCATGACTTGCAAAGATGTTTACCTAATTTTGGGCAGTGGACAATTACCAGGGGAAAGCTAATGCACTAAGATTAATTGTCATTTGCAATATATTATTACAAAGGTAACATAAGCCAAAAGTATTGCAAATTATAAAAATAAGTATATTATAATTAAGAAATAAATTAAAAAGATCGTATAAAATTTTTTAATAAACTCAATAAAACACGAGTAGATTATTTAAACATTTTACGTAAAATCTCTTTGAGATTATAAAATCACTACTGTGGCCTCTGCGTCAGGTTCCATCCGATTATCGCGTTCTATGAAAAGGTAATGCATGGGTAACGAGCTAATAGAAATGTAAATGACGATAAATTTAAAATTCAATTTGGAAAACTCAGCAAAAGCCGCGGCTCGAGACCTCTAAATTTCTTACGGAAAACACTGATAATATTATATTTCACGATAATACATAATTATATGTTATATGATGGATATTGCGTTGTGCATTTACGTTAGCATAATAATGAAGGATAATACGTAAAGAAACTTTCTCGAATATAGGCGCGTGTTTTCTAAACAATTTTGAACTTGTGCTTAATATTGCTGTTTCGCTGCAACATGGCCTATTCGCGTATGTCACTGAAAAGTTAGGAAATGAGATAATCCATAATTGCAGCTTTAGCAGAGCTTTCTCTAAACAAGTTCCAAAGTACATAACCAAAGGTATTTATACGCAATATAAAATGTAGAAAATTTTAATAATTAAATCTCAAAGAAGATTTTGTAAAAAATCCATGCACATAACTGTTTTAGAATTATTTTATATAAAGTTAGATATCTTTATAATGTGAAAAACATATAAATTATTAAATGTATTAATTAATGCATTAATGTAATAATTATGCGCAAATTCGGTAATGTATGTTGTCCGAGTACATTTTTGTTGGCACACATTTTGTAATTAAATAAGAACAATACTGAATTATACATTAATATATGTTATTCATAATAATTATTAAATATATTATAGACGATTTAATTAATGTTTATTCTACTTTCTATTTTTTCGAATAAATATAAATTATTTTGCAAAATACTTCCTTTCTCTCTTGCGATATTTTTAATTTAATTATTTCTTTCAAAAGAAGAGTTTTCTATAAAATTTTTTCTTTATTATCAAAATCCAAAAATCAACGTTGGCTTTATCAATTCCTCTCTATAAAACTCTACTCTCCACGACTTGTCCAGAATCCCTCGGTAAAGCAGCGCATTCGTTGCAAGAACCGCCAACCATCCCCTAGTTGCCAACCTCTCGAGGGTAGCTCAGTTCACTCTGACGCGTTGAAAATCTCGCTACGTCCGATGGTGTTTTCCTTCCCCTTGACAACATCCCTTTGCGTTGAGTGATCGTACGGGAATTTCAATGGTGTCTTTAACAATGGAACTTCGAAGATTGTGAGAATATATGATGACGAGGATCTCAACTACTCGACAAGGGTGGGTTCGGTCTGTCGGGTTGCAAGGAAGGAAATGCAATTATTCGCCAGCGTCTGCGCTTCTATATTGATCGGTGGTGGTGGCAGTGAAGGTACGACGGTGGTGGCGGCTGTGCTCGCGGCGCGTTCGAGCGTTCGGGTGGGACCACAACCAACCCCACAACGAACCCGCCCAAAATGTATTTTTGCCTGCGTCTCGTGCGGCTATTCCTGATCTCGGCGATTCTGTGCGTCGGTAAGGCCCGTTTTCGGAGCGACAAAATGAAGCTTGAAAAATTCGTGCGCCTTAGAAAAAGTTTAGTGTTCGGATATAGGAGTAAACTAATATTTTTTGATATCCTAGAGAAAGCGAAAAAAGTAGAATGCGTGACGAAGCAGCGTGCGAATTTTTAGTTTGGGCAATTTATCTCACGCGATTCAGGAATCCATCGATCGGACGTTTCCGTTAATCGGGTTAATCGTCTTATTTGCAGGTTTGTGCTCCGAAGATGAAGAGAGATTGGTACGAGACTTGTTCAGAGGATACAATAAGCTCATCCGACCAGTGCAAAATATGACGGAGAAAGTGCACGTGAGGTTTGGCCTCGCCTTCGTGCAACTGATCAATGTGGTGAGATTTTCTTGTTTTGTTTCATGTTCGCGCAAATTTGTCAGATGATGACAGAAATTATAAGTTTCAAAGATATAACGAAATGTGAAAAAAAAAATGTTTCGGTCATATCAAGTTCTTTCAATTTTTCAGAATGAAAAGAATCAGATTATGAAATCGAATGTATGGTTGAGATTCGTATGGATGGACTATCAATTACAATGGGATGAAGCAGATTACGGCGGTATCGGTGTCCTCAGATTACCACCCGACAAAGTGTGGAAACCAGATATAGTCTTATTCAATAAGTATGAATATCAAGACAGTTATTTATCTACTTTACTAAATTAAAAAAATATATTAATCGTAATATACAGAAAAAAACGTTAGTTTTATTAACGTTTATGAAAATTTAAGTAGATAGAAATCTAGAAAATTTAAGTAGATACAGATCTGAAAATAATTCTGTTGAACTATGAAAATGATTATGTAAAAAGCTTTAGCATGAAGAGCAATGTTGCAAAAAATAATATTCTAGCAATCAGCTTGAGCATTCTATGTAATTATTTTGATATTCTAACAAAATTATTAAATTTCAGATTTGTGTCTAACTAAATTTTTTAGAATCATTCTTTCTGTGTGTGTGCATAATTCAATTGTTTACATTATATATATTATATATATTTTTACATTAATATATATTAAAATTTCTAAAATAATTCAGATATATATTCAATACATTAATATTGATATTTGAAATAGATTATTTTAAAAGTATAATTATTCCAAAATTGTTAATTAAACACAAATGAATATAAAAACAATTGTTTATTTTTCAATTTTTTGGTTAAAGATGTATCAGCGACTGAGAGTTAAAATTTTTCTTCCCTTTTAATTAATAATTTTTAATTTACATTTTTAATAATTATACTTATAAAAATTATATTTTCTTCGTTTATAGCGCTGACGGCAACTATGAAGTTCGTTATAAAAGTAACGTGCTGATATATCCGAACGGCGAGGTGCTCTGGGTACCGCCAGCAATTTATCAGAGCTCATGCACAATAGATGTAACATATTTTCCCTTCGATCAGCAAACATGCATTATGAAATTCGGTTCATGGACCTTCAACGGTGACCAGGTCTCTCTCGCGCTCTACAATGATAAGAACTTCGTCGATCTGTCCGACTATTGGAAGAGCCGCATTATTAACGTGCCGGCATATCTCAATGTTTACAAAGGTGATTTTCCCACGGAGACAGACATCACTTTCTACATAATTATCCGCAGGTGCGTATTTTACTCCTAATCTCTGTCAATTTTGGAATTGATACTAGCTTCTGTAATTAGTATTTCATAATTATATTAATGCAAAACTGTAATTACATAATCCTATACTGACAATAAGTCACATAAACATTCCTATTGTTTCTGCAGGAAGACTCTCTTCTACACAGTGAACTTGATACTGCCGACAGTTCTGATCTCTTTTCTCTGCGTACTCGTTTTCTACCTTCCAGCGGAGGCTGGTGAGAAAGTCACTCTGGGCATTAGCATTCTTCTATCATTGGTCGTGTTCCTCCTGTTAGTCAGCAAAATTTTACCACCGACTTCGCTAGTGCTGCCATTGATAGCCAAATATCTGCTCTTCACTTTTATCATGAATACTGTCAGTATCCTCGTAACTGTGATCATCATTAATTGGAACTTCCGCGGGCCAAGGACCCACAGAATGCCTCAGCTCATACGCAAGATCTTCCTTAAATATCTGCCAGCGATCTTGTTTATGAAACGACCAAAAAAGACGCGGTTGAGGTAAGAATTTCTTTTTGTGAGATATTATTAATCAAAAAGAATAAAAAAAAGGCCATAATTGGTACGATAGATCTTGGCCTATAATATCTTTATGTGAATTTTTAGTTTAAGTAAATAATTGTAATCCAAACAATGATGACAAATTTTATGACGTTTAAAATCAAAGTATAAAATAGATACCAGTAATCTGACATCTTATTATAATTTATGTACATAATTTAATTTTAATTATAACTTTTATATATATATATTAGGTGTTGGAATTAATTCGTAACGTTTTACAAGTGATGGGAAGTACTTTCATTAATGTATTTTTTAATGCTCATGTGAAATAAATAACATTCTTTCATTAAAAACGCTACGAATTAATTCCAACACTAATATATATATATTAATAATATATATAATTAACCCTTCGTTGACACACCTCTTTTTTCGATCGCTTTTTGACACACTGGGTGGCTCACATCCAGAATAATTATGTTTAAACATGACATTTTTATTTAAAAAATTCAATCAATATGAAAAAAATTATGGGTCAATTTCAAGGTCTGTAGAATACATTTAAATAGTTTTTATATATATAATATATTTTATACTACAAGGTGAGTAAAAAGTCCTGGACCAGTAAAATATCTCAAAAACTAAGCATTTTCGAAAGAAATGTTTCCTACAAAAGTTGTAGGGTTTTAAATGATCTATTCATTGATCTGATTAGTCTGACCTTAGGTGGCGTCGCCAAGGTTAGATTAAGGTCATATCGATTTTTTTAAATAGCAAATCCTATTTCTGATTCCAGAATCTAATAGCTGGTGTCAAGAGCTTTTCAAAACATAATAATAAAGTTATTTTTCATTGAGTACTTTTCGAGTTATAAAGCTCGAAAGTTACAGTACTGCCGGCATTAGTATTACGCAGTGTTTGACCGATGGCTAAAACTTCTTCAATGTTATTCAGGAAGTTTGGATAATAATATCCTGGATAATATTCGTTAAAATCAAAGTCATTAGAAATTGTTTCTCTTATTTTCGTTTTACATAATAATGACTTTTCAATGCAAAAGTAAACATAAGAGGAATAATATAAATAATCTTTAAATAATCTTTGTAAATGATCTTGATTATAACGAATGTTATTCAGGACATAATCCTGAACAAGAGGTTTTTCCATTGGTCGATACCAACTATTAGATTCTGGAATATCAAAAGTAGGTGTTTAAAAAAATCGATATGACCTTGACCTGACATTAACGACGCCACCCAAGACCAAACTGATATATATATAAATAATATAGATTTAAATTACATATGCTGCCGAAGCATTGTCATTTCAATTTGTTTCTATCGAATGACAATTACATGGAATAAACGGGTATTATTTCATCAGATGGATGATGGAGATACCAAACGTAACACTGCCAGCTTCCACATACTCGGGAAGTCCGACCGAGGTGCCGAAGCATCTGCCAGCCTCTCTGGCAAAATCGAAAATGGAGGTGATGGAACTATCTGATCTGCACCATCCAAATTGCAAGATTAATCGTAAGGTTCATCACACCACGAGCAGTTCTAGCGGTGCTGGAGCAGGGGAAGGCATGGGTGATAGAAGAGGATCCGAAAGTTCGGACTCAGTGTTGCTCAGCCCCGAAGCCAGCAAGGCTACCGAGGCTGTAGAGTTCATAGCGGAGCATCTCAGGAACGAAGACTTGTATATACAGGTAAAGACCCTCACAATCTTTTCGCATAAATAATACTTTTAAGCAATATATAATTGTTTTTTTAATAAAATATTGTTTTTCAGACAAGGGAAGATTGGAAATACGTCGCAATGGTGATCGATCGACTGCAACTTTATATATTCTTTATAGTAACGACCGCGGGTACCGTCGGGATCCTAATGGACGCACCTCATATTTTCGAGTATGTGGACCAGGATTATATAATAGAAACTTACCGCGGGAAATAATCCAATTTGCCCCAACGAAGCGCAATCACAAATAATAGCCATTATTACGCGACCGTTCTCATTTCGTCTTTTTCGTCGACTTCTTTGAAATCGACTTCATAACGCCAAGTGAATAATTTTGTCATTTCAATAGTAAGCGTAAAACGCTTACAACTCAAGTGGCTGTTCAACATGCAATTATTTTTTATACCTACAGATTTTTATGAAATTCCCTGCGAAGTACAAATTTATTTGACGAAAGTCTCGATACAATCTTCTGCCATTGTGCGCATATTTTTGGTTTTGTGTAATTGTAAGATTGTAGAATCCGATTTATAAGCTCTCCCAATGACGAAACTTGAGCGATCGAAATGGCATACATTATGTAGATAATAATTCCACTAGTGTTAATCATGGATGCCTCTGCGATTATTGTCTTCCCCGTCATTAACTTCCGGTAGCTCCATTGCGACACGCTTAGACAAAAGATTTATGAAACGATTATCGAATGGTTCTCATTCTTCATTTTATCGAAGAAATAGGTATTTTTAAAGTTTTTAAATGCGAGAAATCATATTGTAGGAGATTAATTGCCAACTTTATAATTTTTACAAAATAGTATTTTATTAGCTACAAAGGCATTTCTCTTTAATTTTATTATTCTATTTACAAAACTTTTTAAATCAGAAACTTGCTTAAAGTTTGAAAAGTTTGCTCAGATTTTATATTACAAAGAATTTTAATAATTACGTATTGGATAAATTTTTATTTAAAAAATTTAATTTAATTTATTTCTAACTTAAAACGTACTATTTCACTATTACATTTTGTAATTGTATGTATTATTAGAAATACTTATGATTGCTTCTTTAACCGTGTAATTACTATATAACACAATTAATGTTAAACGATGAAATCCGCTTGTGTAGCATTACATATCGTATCTAGAAGGAATTAGTTTATAGTACTTTGGCAAAATTACTGTAATATTAATATAATGATGGTACGCACAAACCCGTTTAGTCAACTTATCGATATCTCTTAATTAGAAAACAAATAATCCAATAGTCTAACAATAAGTTAGGAAAGTATATAAAACGAAAATATTATTTATCGTAAAGTAACTCACAAGGAGAGACTCACATAAGTATTTTTCGGATTTTGATCAGCTTTTTGTAAGGTTATTCTAGAGCAGCAAAAATAGTCTCTATAAAGCAGTAAATTGCACCTCTTCACGGATCGCTTTTAATGGAAATACGGAATGGAAATACAAAGATGGAAATAATGGAATACTGGGATTCCCCCAAGTTTGAAAGCGATCCGTCGTCGTGATCTAAAATCACGATTTTCTCGAAAAATACGCAGAGATGCAATTTACTGCTTTACAGGAATTATTTTTTGCTCCAGAATAACTACGCAAAAGCTGAAAAATAAGCTCAAAATCCGTGAAATAACTTATGTGAGTCTCTCCCCTTGTCAGAGTTACAGGAATTCACGTTTAACATTAAAAATTATGTAAATCGTCGCGTATTTTTCTAGAATTTAATTTTATCACCATTTATTAATACATTTAGTATAGTTTCTCTATTTTAGGTAACTATACGCCAAATATTCGCGTTTGACGTCTATATACGTTAGTGTTAAACGTGTGGAAGAAAAATAGTCCTGTATTTAATCTCTCGATCATAATTTTAGTGATCAGCTTCAACCAAATCGATCAAATTCTCGATATCAAAGATTATAAGTCTCCACGTAAGATAAGATCGAAACGTTCTTTACGCATCCATACGTGGATGGTCACGCAGAGTCAATCGCGATAATGTTTTAGATATAAATTTGAAATAATTTTGATAATAATTGTGCAAGTCGTCACGTCGTAATTTTGTCGATTTCGCATTTGATACTCGTCGTGGCATTGATTATAAATATCGATAGAACTGCGACGGTCTTGACACGCTCGTCAGATACGAACGAGCTCGTAATAACGAATTTTACACGAGCACGAGACGTTATAAATTATGAGCAATATGTTCGTATCGATATCTCCAGGAGACTCGGAAGGCCAATGCAGATCAAGATATTCTTAACAAGAATTTTTAAAGTATACACAAAGTGTACTTCAAAATCTATCTAACAAGAAAATTAATTGTATCTTTAATGAATGCAAATGAAAATTGTATCTTGACCTGTTTTTTTGGCCTTTCTAAAAATATAGGTCATGCTTTCATGTCTCGCATTTAACGAAAATATCTGTATAAACAGAACAAAATATTGCTTAATGCATTATTTAAAATATGTAGACATCATTTTCCCTTTTTGCTGTTGTTTCTTTTTTAACTAAATAAACAAGTATCTCTCACTTTATAAATACGTAAGTTAAACGGTTTTTATATTATCAATTTATTGTTATTTGTTGAAGATATTTATGTGTATAGATATAATTTTTTTTAAATTGTGTTTTAATGAGAAAAAAATGATTAAATTAACAACAAATAACCATGCTTAATTAAATGCGGGATGAGAATATGAGGGCTATATGTTGCGTTAATAATTATGCGCGTATTAGGAAGCATGATTTTTCGTGAAACACAAGAACGTCGTGCGTTAATAGAACATCGTAGCTATGCTTGCCGTATATATTGTACAGAGAGACTGTTAAACAGTCAAGTCTTCTTTAATAAAGAACGTTCAGTTCGGAAGAAAATTGCAGTCGACTGTTGGATATCGAGGATTTTGTTGCGAGTAGTGAAACAACCAAAAATATTTATTATTTTTCATATTTCTTTCTAATTTTATGCAGCTGCAATATCACCTTAATCTATTAAATTTGAAAATTTTGTATTTATAAATTTCTTTTTAATTTTATAATTCGTCAAATGTTATGATGATTTATTAGGTTATGTCAATTGTTAATTAATCAGCCTCACAGAATTTTTTAATATAATAAGGCACACTTAATAGTTATCCTGTTTAACGATGTTAATGTTAATGTTACAGATGTTGCAACAGTTTCTTCAAACGCATTTAAATATGTTATGACATAAACCGATCGTTATGTTTATTAAGCAAATAATAAAATAATTTTAGACTTACTTGAAAATGCTTGACAGAATAAGAAATTCGCAGAATCCTAGAATGGAAAATTGTTCTTGTTTATAATTATTTGCGTCAATCTTAGCAACTTTAGATGCGTGAAATACAAGTTTACGATATTTTTAAAAGAAATTTAATGTACTCATCGTAGATTTTTCTTTCATCTTTTGTAAATCGATCAAGAAAATTTTATTTACAAATTTTATATTTAAAACAAAGTTCAAGTTGCAATGTAGTGTGTTAAAGAAAAGTTTATGTACATCCAGATTTATTGACAATGTTTTATAATACCGTTATATAATACCGTTACTTATTGATAGCGCATGTCGTGTCTTCCTGGAAAGAAATACAATAATTAAAATTTAGAAACCAAGCACACTGTCATATTCCGTTTTGTTCCATCCCTCTCGTCATAAGTTTCGTGTGATTTATTCGATGCGATTTAACACAAACAATAACAATAAACGACATCATACCGTTTCAGCCCGTGTATATGTGTCTTATCTACTGCGGAAAGGAAGACGATCGTATCAGCGAATATGTATTATAGTTCACTTTGCGCATAAAACAAAAAACCGAAAATTGTTGAATCGAAAAGTTTGTACTTTATTATGCATGATAAATAACATAGTGATTATATATTCGTGCATTACTGTATGTTGGTAGGTAAAAGAGAAATTTAACATAAAAGTTAAGTATTCCTTTTTATAATGAAATAATGCATCAATAAAGCTCATGAAATTTTATACCTTCACGTTTCTGTTTTGACTGATATCACGATTGCACTTTCCAGCATCAATGTTCTGAATTGCAACTTTGCACAAATGAAGCATTGAGAGGAATAACGTTGTTCTCTCAAATCACCGATAAGAATTTGTTGCAACAAATAAACTATACGTGCATAGCCGAAAGAAAAGAGGAAAAAATGGAAAACGTATATTTTCATTTCATTTATTTCAACAATTTCATAATAACGTAATAATATTAATAATATTACAATGCGGCGATTACAGTGCTCACCAGTTAACAGGGATTCTCATATCGATCAACGTTGCCTCGAAAAGGAGCCCAGCGTAGAAATATAACAAATTTTTATTTACGCTCTCTTATATCTCCTCCGGTATGGATTTACTATTATCAGACCAGGCTGTTATCGGAGGCATAATTAAATGTCAAGTGAGATCGGGTGAGTTCAGTTCAATTGCATCGTCCCACCAGGGTCTATGGAAACAGTAACATTTTTTGTTTATTTTCGCTCTTCTCTCCTCGCATTCTCGATGGCGATCGATAACGCACACCTTAATTGTCGATCTTAATGACTGGGTATAACGATGGACAATACGAGGCGATTTCGTTCTTTTTAAAGTACATAAGGAATAAAGATATAGGTAATGAAGAAAGTTAGATCGCGCTCTACATAGGTTCGGTTTTTCTGAAATCGCATTAGCGCGGCTTTTAATGTCCTTTAAATTCAATAGGTTAGCATCGAGAGATAATTAAGTTATAACTTTATCTTTTTTTTTCCATTGTTAGTTTAGAGAGAAAGTGATCTCGATAAAGTTTGTCCCTAACTGCTAATAAACTACCTTTGAATCACCCCTATAATTACTGTCAGAGTATAACTACTTCGCTATTGATTACAGGCTAGTTTTAATATTCAGTTAATCGATATTATTAACCATTTTCTTTTATTCATTATTACGAATATGACTTTAGCATTCAATAGTTTAAATATATATAGTTTATGTTTAGTGGTACATGTGCTTAATAATTTCGCTTTTATTTATTTACTTATTTGTTTATTATTATTTATTTTTTGCGGTAATTTAGAAATTATATTTTAATCTCGCTGTTTTTTTACTAACCACCTAACGCGAATTCTCGTTTCCTTTGTCATTTTTTTAAAAATCATTTTCTCTTCTTTTGATAGGACAACGCAGTTTCCTGTGAAATCGCGCGTGGTGAGTTAGCTGAGCGAGGATTCAAAAAGGAAGGAAACGAGTACTGCTTGCCGGAAATAACTGTGTGCACTTTTACTTTTGTAAAAATTCATTTTTAAATTCAGTTGGCTGTGACGCGTTTTTTCTTATCTCTGTTCTCTTTTATATATATATATATTTTTTTTTTCCATTCTTTACACATATTTATATATTTTTTTCTCCATCTCATTTGTCCGTTGAATTTTAATGTAAAATATGTAATATTCGCTCAACTCAAACTCAAAATTTTGTTTCCTCTCTCATTCACGATTTTACGCAGTAAATGTATATATTAAAAGCATTCAATTCAATATTTGAGAGCATAAGGCAATTAAAAAAATTTATTTACTATTAAAGAAAAAAATTATATTTTAGTTTTATACTTTAACATTATCTACAATATATATTTTATGTTGCTCTTTGTCAAATCAATGTTATATATAATATATTTGTCGGACATTAAATTATTTATTTCATTGTGTCATATTTTTTTTTATTTCAAGAAACTTATCGGCAAAGAGATAAGGAACATTTGTTATCTTTTTCAGGACACGATTTAATA